AACTCCACGATCCCTTCCTTGATCGACCCAAAGATGATGGGGGTCGACTCAAGGATGCCCCTAGTGATCTCCGACGTGATGAACTCACGTAGCCTCTCCTCAATCGGCTCGGTGCCAGATCCCGAACCTGACCCCTCTCCTGACCCGCCCTGTCGGTCTCGGTCGAAGTACCACCATTCTGCAAAACATCAATATAATCATTAGTGGTACTGCTACTTTCTGAGGGATCTCAACTACTTACAGGTTCCTTGGTCTCGTCTTGGCCTTCCTCGGCTCGGGTACGGATCCTCTGCTTTCAGTAGTACGGGCCCATACTACCTTCCACATCTATCCGTACCTTCTCCGAGGAATTCCTCGACTCCACCATCCCCTTACTACTGCTACTCTCTGTATTCTCATCCTGGCTTGCCCTAGGGAAACCCAAGTTCAACACAACTGGTCCTCAGCTGCTGTAGGTCTCCTCATAATGCCAGTTAGCCACCACCTAAACACCATCACATGTAATGAGGATTAGATAATCCTTCAAGTAAAAGATCCGTCCCTACAACGGTTGGACTCAAACAAGAGCTGCGCAATAGGGCCAGTTCCAACACTTTGGGATTATTCAACCCTGATTACATGTGGTGTGACGTGTTTACCTAGTGGCTCACTCCCATTACTCAGAATCCCACCGAGCACGAAGCAAGCAGCATTCGGATAAGGAAAACAGACTCAAGCCAAAACTGTTCTTAGAACAAGAAATGACACTTAACATAGGATGCTAAGCTCATACTATCAGGCATAACCTAAACAGGCTATCCTACTGCTGTCTACTCAATTCTAGCATGCACTATTCGATAAGCTGTAACAAATAAACAGGCACATAAGGCATCACTCCTAGATCCTTAGCCTATTCTAGCATGCAATATTCATAAAGTTGATAACATAAACTTGTATGGGTACTTTGGGGAATACTTACTTGAGCTCGGCCGGTCGCGCGCGTCACACACTTTACTCTTTCTTGACTCTTTTCCGGGTTTTAAAAACAATTTCTTTTGGAAAAATCTTTCAATCCCTCGATTTGAGTCCAAACACTCCCGAAGGCGTGTCCGAATCCCTCAAACCAGGGCTCTGATACCAACTTGTAACGACCCAATTTTTACGTCCGAAAATTTCATTTTTAAGATATCACTTAGAAAACATTTATAAATAAAAACATTGTTTAATAAAAAAACATTGTTTGTTCACACCATAACACATTGCAACCATGTTCTCAAAAGACAAACCGTACATCCCATCAAAATATCAGAGTACAATCCCAGTAAATCTCATAAATGCGGAAACCGAAGAGTGTGTGTATGACGTGCCGCTACTACCGCCGGCTCCTTCCCCTTCGATGCAGAGGTACCTGAAAACAAAACTGTAAACGTAAGCACAAAGCTTAGTGAGTTCCCCCAACGTACCGCATACCATACAAACACATAACATATATACTGCCAGGCTATTCTGGGGTGCCTGACTACCCGGTACGGCCATTCTGGGGTGCCGACCTACCCGTGTCAAGCCATTCTGGGGTGCTGACCTACCCATGTCAAGCCATTCTGGGGTGCTGACTACCCATCGGTCCTAACAACCGATCCTCGGGGACTATTTCACCCCCTACCACTACGATCACATATAACATAACAAGCCAGCATGCAACATATCATCACATACTGTCAGACTATCTGGGGTGTCTGACTACCCTTGGTCCTAACAACCAAACTCTACTACTATCACATACACATATCATGCTAGCATATAACATATCAGGTAATAACAAACTTAGATGATATCACAAAGACAATCATCTATCATACATCTCCTACTGGTGGGTCGGCATTGTGGCCTTAGACCCACCGCTACTGGAAGGTAACTCACCTCAAAGTAGCTGCTGAACTGATCGGGAACTGACTGACTGCTGCTGCTCCGGGATCCTCCGGCTGCAATTCCCACAACATACCAATCAAACACTGCTAACGACCTAGGTAAAATGACCATTTTACCCCTGGATTAACTCTAAGCCAAAGCTGGAGTCAACTTTAGTTGACCCGACTCGCCGAGTGGATCACCACTCGCCGAGTCCCTAGCAACCAATGTCCTGGGTCCCTGGTTCTACTCGTCGAGTCGGGCTATGACTCGACGAGTTCGCCTTCTACTGTCATTCACACCTTCATCCTACTCGCCGAGTTGTATGAACAACTCGTCGAGTTCATCTTCATCCGATGAACACTTTCTGCTAAGACTCGCCGAGTTGTATGAACAACTCGCCGAGTCTGTTCTTGAGCTATGAAGATTGCCTTGGACTCGCCGAGTCAGGGCATTGACTCGCCGAGTCCTAACATGGGTGAGTTCAGCTCCCAACTCACCGAGTCACCCCCTGTGACTCAAGGCTCAACTCGACACATGAATAAGGGACCAAATCGACGACTCGCGACCAGACTCGCCGAGTCACCTATGCGACTCGCCGAGTCGTCGCCATGCACTCCTTAAATATACCGATTTGCTCGATTCCAGTCCATGCCATTCATAGATCTGGACTTCTAGGGCACGAATCACACGTAAAGTTTCCAACTTTACGTGTGGATATTCACAAAATGGATTATAAGGCTCAAAATGTCCAAAAGGTAGATCTAGGGCTAACAAGCCTCATGGGGCCAAAAAGCTAACAGATCTGAGCTCCTGGAGCTCAACTTGTATAGATCCAAAGGCCAAACACCTTATTACAACATATAATGCACATACCAACTTGGGGAATTGATCAAGAAGGACCCAAATGAAGTTTAAGCATAGAATCAAGGGGAAAACGGGTTATACTCAAAGGAAACTGTTGCAATGACACAAGGATGGCTGATCTCCTTCTCCTCTTCTTGATCTACACCTCTTGCTCTTCAAAACCTCCAAAGACACACCAAAAACACCTCAAACTCTCAAGGAAACAAGGGAAAACGATGAAGGGGAGTTCTGGGGGGAGAATGGGGACGAGTTGGGGCGGAATGAGGGCTTAAATAGGGTGCAAACCCTTGAAACTTAGGGTTTCATTCCGCAGCGGTGACTCGCCGAGTCCAGGATATGGACTCGTCGAGTCGCCTACTTAAAACACGTCCTGAGTCCCGTCCCTACTCGGCGAGTCGGACCCTATGACTCGCCGAGTCTAAGGCTAAATTAGGGCAATGCTCAAATAAAATTCACATACCGGAAACCAGGTGCTACATTCTTCTTTTAGAGCACTTTCTTTGGCAAGATCAACATGAAGAGATTCCAGCCGAGAAGACACTGAACTAAGAAGTGAAGTGTTCTCAGCTTTAGTGGAAGAACGAACATCTTCAAATTTGGTATGCTCTTCTTGAAGGGACATGGAAAACTAATCCACGAAGGCTTGTACCCTGGCTTTGAAGAGGTTGTCATTAATGTGGAAAATGAAGAAAATATGGAGAACAATACTGTATTCTAGCAGAATGTATTCTGTCAGAATTTATAAATTGTTATTCTTTCGGAATGTATTAGTGTTTTTGTTAGATTGTGCGCTTTTTTTTTTTTTTTTTTTTTTTTTTTTTTTAACTATTTTTATTTTTAATTTTTAAGAATAAATGTAATCCTTAAACCATTATTAGTCATAAATTTTTTAGAATGAATGTAATATTTGTTTATAGTTTTTTTCTTTACGGATGAATGTAAATAGTGATTCATAAAGAATAAAATTCGTATTCTTTAGAAAATGTTATTCTTAATAATATGTTGTATAATTATTTAAGAATGTTTAATATAAAAAATATCTTGAATCAAACAATATTCTGCCAGAATAAAACCGCAAATTTATTTACTAGTTTATTATTGACTTTTTGTTATTCTGACAGAATAAGGTCGGTTATTATTAAAAATAATATTAAAATTTAACTAGAATTAATTTAAAAAATCCATATTTTTTAAAAATAAGGGAATTAATGATCCTTTAAAATCCGAAAATTTCATTTTTTAAAGTAGGTTAATTGACCAAAATACTCTTTTTGCTAAAATTTGTATACATGCTACCCTATTGTAATATTATAGACCCTCAGATAATGACTGTTGGTTCTATTCATCCGGTAGTCTAGATCTGTGCATTATATATATATATATATATATATATATATATATATATATATATATATATATATATATATATAACCGATAAATGATTAAACCTTAATTTTTTTATGAGAAATGAAATTGTCTCCTACCTTTTATTCCTACAATTAATCATACACACTAAAATTATGACAAATCACCATTCAATTTAATTTTATTTGATATATTCCTAATATAATCTTAATAATTTAGTTTAAAAAATATGGAAATATGACACTTATCATAATTTTATTGGGTAGGAACATTTGTAGGCATAAAAAGTAGGAATCAATTTAATTTCTCTTTTTTTTTATATATATTTGGATATTATATTTCTCTATTTGATTTATCTATGTTTCTAGTTTATCTACTACTAATTCCTTTTCTACGTATTTTTATTTGTTTATTAGTTATATATAACCGATAAAGGAATGTAAGATTTATTTTGTTACATATATTTGGATATTATATTTCTCTATTTGATTTCTCTATGATTCTACTTTATCTATTGCTAATTCCTTTTCTACATATTCTTCATTACGCCTTTGTACATTGCGTATTGGCGAAAACTTAAAAATGGCGGTAGGCATCTTTTCCAAAATTGAGTATAACACCCTCAAACAAGTTCCTGAAAACGAGGAAACAATGTAACGAATAAAATCTTACATTCCTTTTGGAAATAATGTAACTAATAAATCTACTCTATATTATCCTTTTAGAATCTTTGACAAGTTCTGATCATAATGAAACTATCGAGGACAAGAATGTTACGGATAAAATTTAAATCGTACATTCCTTTATAACACTCTATATAAGAAATAAAGCCAAAGGGTCTTCCATCAACACCACGATAAAAGTGACATCTTGTATCATTCATGGCCTCCAAAAAAGCAACATCAGGACAGGGAGATCTCATAACCATACTAAGCATTGATGGAGGTGGAGTGCGGGGGATAATTCCGAGTGTTATACTCGACTTCCTAGAAACCGAACTTCAGGTACAAATTTGCTATCTTTAGTTGGAAATCTCAATTACACAAAGATCAACGACCAGATTTCAACAATTCATAACACAAAACTTGTTTATGGACAACGCCAATGAAGAAATATTAGTATATTAACATGCATGGACATCACTAATTAACGTAAAATCTTTTCTTATAGCTTCTTAGTCTTTTGCTTTTTCCTTAGCTTTAGTAGTACGTGTTCTTATCTTGTATAATTTTCTTTTCTTAACAAACTTTACCCCGGGAAATTGCTTAACCTAAAAAAAATATTGACAACTGAATAACAAAAAGTACAAGTATATATTAGTCAATCTCTGTTTTATTTCAAATAGAAGACTGAAATTTGATTGTTGTTTGTAACATCTTTTCACGCACGAAAACACAACACAACACAGAGTTTAACAAAGAAACCAAACACATTTGCAGAAATTGGATGGCGAGAATGCTAGGTTGGCGGATTATTTCGATGTGATTTCAGGAACAAGCACAGGAGGCCTAGTGACAGCAATGTTAACCTCCCCTAATGAAGAGAAGCGACCTATATTCGCAGCCAAGGATATCACAAACTTCTATCTCGAACATTGTCCTAAGATCTTTCCACAACATACGTAATATATATATGTTGATTGTATAGAAAGAAAGGCATGCATGCTTTTTGTGATTTATAGCTAACAGTGTTTTCTTGTAGGAATCCGTTTGCTCCTGCTGAAAAAGCGTTGAAAGCTCTATCTGGTCCAAGGTACGATGGAGTCTATCTTCATAGACTTGTTCGAGAAATACTGGGGAACACAAGACTCCATGAATCACTAACGAATGTCGTGATCCCAACTTTTGATATCAAACGCTTGCAGCCTGTCATCTTCTCAACTTACCAGGTTAAATTAAAAAAAAAAAAAATATCTTTTTGATAAAATCAAGGTGCATGGGATGTGTGTATCTACATGTGTGTTTTCTTTTCAGAAGAAAATGACCAACTCGTGTGTCCTACACTTCATGCATGTTTCAGCTGAAGAAAAAACCAAGTCTAGATGTGATGTTGGCAGATATATGCATCGGAACATCAGCAGCGCCAACTTATCTTCCTTGCCATACTTTCAGACACGAAGATTCTGAAGGGAATCTAATTGGAGAGTTCGATCTCATCGATGGCGGGGTGACTGCAAATAATCCGGTATCTACATTTGCACTTTACGTATGTGATAAAGCTAATTCTAATGGATGCATGTATTTTAATTTGCAGACTTTAGTCGCAATAAATGAAGTGACACAGGAGATAAAAGGAGGCATTAAAACAGGTGGTTTTCTAGTATTGTCATTGGGGACGGGCTCACCAAAATTCATCGAGAAGTATGACGGTAATACATCGTCTCATTGGGGTGTTGTCGGGTGGCTGGCGAGTGGTGGCTCGATTCCACTGATAGATGTATTTACTCAAGCAAGTAGTGGAATAGCCGACTATCATACCTCCACCTTCTTGCAAGCCCTTCATTTGGAGGGGAAGTACCTTCGTATTCAGGTGTAATAATGACTGTTTTATGACTATCTATAACCATGCAAAAAAAACAAACGATATATAGTAATATATATATATATATATATATATATATATATAATATATATATATATATATATATATATATATATATATATATATATATATATATGTCATGTATTTGATACTTTGAAATGGTTCAGGATGACACTTTAACAGGAGACGTTGCTTCGATGGATCTGGCAACAACAAAAAACTTAGAGGATCTGGTTCAAGTTGGCAAACAATTGTTGCAAAAACGACCGATGATGGGCATGGGTAGACAACCTTTTTCTGATAGCAGTACCAACGAAAAAGCTCTAATAAGGTACCTAAGTTTATATCTATAAATATATATATATATATATATATATATATATATATATATATATATATATATATATATATATATATACACACACACACACGGAAAATAACACAAATATCATACGAAGTTTTTAAAGTTTACCCGTTGAGTTCCTAAAGTTTTTATCAGGCTTTATGGGTACCTAAATTAGGATATGACCTGCTTTTTTAGTCCATAATAGTCGGTTCAGTGATCTTCTAGACAAAAAAAACTAATAACATGTCGCTGTAAAGCCAAAAAAATAAGTTCAGGATCGATTTCTAAAAAAACAAACTCCTTTCTTTTAAATCCGATTCACACTCAATTCGTATTGATCCTCAAACTTATTTTTTTGGTTTTATAGCGACACAATGTAAGTTTTTTTTGGTCTAGAAGGTCACTGAACCGGTTATTAAAGGTTGATAAAGACTAAAAAGAGAAGTCATATTCTAATTTAGAGACCCATAAAACCCCACAAAAACTTTAGGAACTCAATAAAATGCTCATACTTTATTGAGTTTATGCCATGATCGATCAGGTTGGCGAAAATGCTGTCAGAGGAAAAGATTAAGAGAGAGCACAACAATAGCCAAGAAGTGGAGATCAATACTTCGGTTTCAAGGAGAACGGGAATGTATTTGAGGGCAGTTTCTGGGTCCCTCCCGAATTTGCAGCAAATCACTACATAGGAAAAAGCAATGAAAGCATGCTTATAATTGCGACGTCCGCCGTTGCTGTTTACTAGTATTATATTAGTCGTAATTATTTCCTCTCAATAAACTATGTAAATAAAAGTATGGTTTTTCATTTTTATTCTGAAAATTAAACAAATATAAATAAAAAATGTGGTTTTTGGTTTTTATGAATGCATTGATGTAGGACATTTGAATTTATATATTTGGACTCTTTTAATTCTCTTTCGTAATCTCCTTCTTCGATTTTGACATTTGTCTTCGTCTATATAGTAGGAAGATTACTAGGAAAGTAGGAGGATATTTGATCTCTATTGATTTTCACGCTTTTATTCCTCACACTTTTCATTACGACATCTCAATTACATTTATGTTCATAACTTTATAGAAAATAACACATGTACTTTCAATTTTTGACTTAATCTTAATCGAAAAGTCGATTTTTACCTAGTCTAAAATCCTATCATCGATTATGACACTAGTAATTTTGAATGTTGATCTGTGTGAATTATGTGGGTTGTTTGTTGATTCTTTGCGAATAGGATATCACATCTATAGTTCATAAATTACATGTAAAAATCATACCATTGTTATTTGTAAATGAATATCCAATTTTCAGTTTGCAGGTTCCCATTAGCACCTAGAGCATTTCCCAAGGGTTGCAGATGTTGGCACATCGATCACATCTGGTGATCACTGCAAGCATACTGGTGAGTTGAACTTAAGTGGTTGTAAGGGATATTACAGTTGCAAGAGATATATTTATAAATGGAGAATGAGAGGAATATATCCATATGGTCATAGCCCTAACATGGAAATCCATTCCAGTTTTTATATCGCTATATATTTGTTATATATAGAAATACATTAATGTGAGATAATAAGGTATATCAGATAAAAGTTTGCAAATGGTTGGCGTCAACTATGAGTATCTTGAGTTGCTAGATATCACTATGTATGTTATGTTAATGTATTAGCATATAAATTCCGTTTTATTCTTTACCTTCAAAAAGTTTTTTGCATAATTGAAACCAATAAGGGTAGTCTGGTAGATTACAAATATCATTACTTGTTGGATACCAATTGTTTAAGGCTTGAAGCTTTGATTTAATAAAACCATGATATTTATCATTTTACAACTTTATCAAACAAATATGATCTGTTTTAGATCTGGGAAAAGTTGTCAAAGTAATATTAAACTTTGAATTCTTGATTATGTGAATATTAATCATGGTTTTGGCTGACTATTATTTATTCAAGAAAATACTTCACAAAAACCAAATACACCATCAAGCATGCCAACACCATTTTTTTCCAAAAAAAAGAAAAAACCGACGTCTTCTTTTACGACCATATTTAGAGTCAATACGCAAAACTACATCGATTGTTTATACGATCGTATTTAGAGTCAGTACTTACTTTAAAGCAAAATTACATCTATTGTTTAGATACTAAGTATGTTCAAACGAGATTAAGAACATTTGAGAACAATTTTGGACCACTAATTTAACCATTATTATAAAAAATCTATTATTTGTTCTTTTGCTAATTATTTATTATAATTTTATAATTTATTAATAAACAAATAAAAACTATCTACACTCCTTACCCCCAACTCCATCCTACCTACTACCCACTCCACTAGTATACATGTTAGTACGTCCCTTTCATTTTGCTGGACCACCATTAAAAACACCGGACAGCCGCCGGAACCGCCATATCACCATCGTCGACCGTTTAATTGTCAGACCACTGTCGAAAATGCCGTTTCTCCGCTCTCTACATATATGCTTCAACTCCTCGTCTCATCTGAACCGTATGTCATATCTAGTTTCATTGGATCTAGATTTGAAGTTGAAGGCCAACAGATCTGGTTCGCAGTCACCATGATACAGATCGAGAATCCGGAGAAATGTCTACCGGAATTAAATTTGTCGCGCTGGGGGTAAAACTGGGGAGATCTAACTACGTGATTTCGATTTCGGGAGTTGAAAAAGCAAGTGGTGGTATGCATGACGCGTCTTCGTGTGGTCCGGCCCGACATTTGAGGTTTGCAACATCGTTCAATCAATTACGAGGGTTCCATGTATCGATCGAGCGTGATCTATCGATGGACTTCTGGTTCCTAGACGAGTTATAGAATATCATAGTCGAAGGCGGTGACGACGAGATCAAAAAGACCAAACTAACCGTACCTAGGGTTTTCATTGGGGATAGGTATATCAGAGGTGCAGATGAGTTCAGGCAGCTACATGAGGCCGACCAGCTGAAGAAGTCCGAGGAGGATTTAAGTCTCCAGTTTTGTTATTTTCTACTTCCCAAGTCGCCATGTTGGTCGGACTCTATTTTGGAACTGTGTGTTTCTAGTCATGAAGATGACTATAACGAAGGTACCGCTTTTCTTTTTAATTCTTCTTTCGTTCACTTTAATTTGTTTGGGATTTCATATTACTTTTTGCTTTAATTTGTTATTATAATATATTCGAAGATTGCTTTCTTCGAAAACTTGCTAGCGAGTCACAACAATCCTTAAAATATTTTTTAATTATTTCTCCTAAAGTATTATGCCATTTTCTCTTTCTAATGTGTTGTCATGTTGAGTGTTTTTGTGACAACCCGAAAATCCTTGTCTTGTAAAGTTCAACTATTCAACTCAGTCGAGTGTTAGGCTTCGTTTTGCTATCTTATAACGAAAATGTGGGTCTATATGAGTGTTCTAGGCTTATTATAACCTTGATATGAGCCTTAGGAAGGGTTAGAAGGGGTGTAGCATCACAAAATCGGGCCAAACACACCAAAGAAGGTGTGTGCGGCCGCACACCCGCGTGTCCCGCCAGCCAGCCGCACACACCCTCCAACCTCACACTCGACCCTATATATTGAACACTTAGCCAACCTTACACCCCTTTTCCCACTCTCTCAAAGCTGTAACTTTCTCTCTCTAGAAACTTCATCCAAGAACATTCTAAAGGCCTAAAAAACGTGAAGTACTCCATCATTCAACTTGTTATATTGGTAAGACACCTGAATCTAAGCCTAAAACTCATAGTGTTCTTCGTGTTCTTCATCCTTTGAAGGTGTACGGTCGCACACCATCATAAGGTGGCCATACACACCTCAAAAACCCTCCAAAGTGAGAGTTCCAACCCCTATCTACTAGTTGGACTTGGTATTGGCCTTGAAACACCTAAAAATAGACATTTTGGTCATGAATGAGGAGTGTATGGTCGCACACTCCTATGTACGACTGCACACACATCCTGGCCGCACACCTGGACCCACACTCACAAAGGTTGAGTTTGGTGGCCTTACACTCAAATCTAAGGCCTTACACTCATTTAGGGACTTCAATAGGTGTTTGTAACACTTATTTATAAGTGTTTTCATGTCCCTAAAGTGTGTCCATGTGTCTATTAGTGGTTATATACCCTAAGTGTATTCATATATGTGTTGTTACATGATAAACTAGGATCCGTTTGTACTCACGACTTCATTCGACACCCGATGATCCTATATCAATCTTTCTTTCGAGTTACTCACTTCAGGTGAGTTCATACCCCCTTAATCAAACTTTTTAAATGATTTTAAATGCTTTTATGGGGAAAATACAAGTTGAACTAGTACGTTATTAGATCAATCACATGTGATTAATAATTGGCTAGCAAATAGATTTCTGCATGTTAAACTGTTTTTTTATCCAACTAAAGGTTTTCAAATCTTTTTTTTTGTTTTTGTTTTATTTATTTATTTATTTATTTTATTATTATTATTATTATTATTATTATTATTATTATTATTATTATTATTATTATTATTTTTTATAAACTGACATCAAGTCATAAATTCTTATTTATAGATTTTCCCAAGGTTTTACCAAAAACTTATTTTTATACTTTTTTATTGTCAAATGCATGCTTGTATATGTATAGTTATATAAGTAATGTTTAAAGGACATAGGAATGCTAACTCGCTTTAATTCATTTTCCTTGTTTGGATGTGGCTTTAGGGTAACAGTTATCTGTCCGAAGGTCGTTTAAATATTAGTTATATATCATGTATACATATATACTCATAAAAGTTCCATCAAGCAATTCATCACCTTTGGGTAGCAAAGACATCTAGATAACCTCTCAAGTAAACTATAATAGGTATAGTATAGAAACTAACCATAACATTCATGAATGAGAACTTAGTTATAATTATATTCTAAAACAAATACTTTTTAGTAAAAAGGAAGGTTTATAGAAATCAAAACACGAGATACATCCTCATGACGCGGATTCCACCATTGTCAAGTTGGTAACCAAAGTCTTCTGGAGGGAGAGCAGGCATTGTGTTTATGGATCTATACGGGACAAACACTCCCACATCCTGACTGCTAGCTACAGTCCCGACCGACCACGCCAAGGGGTGACAAATGTCACATTCATTTCGATGGTAGTAGGTCGTCAAGTATTCGATCATCAATTAGTATGGTTACAAGTATCTTTACATTTACCTTATAATTCATGGCTTTAAGGTAAGAAGTATTATCACGATATTTTCTATATATGAAACCATCATGATATGTTTTCCTAGTTATATACTAGGCCACATTTTAAATCGTTAAACTAATCTACGTAAGATCAAAGGCTATTTTAGACTCTCCGAGGCGCATTGTTCCCTTAATACTTCCTGGAGTCTGTACTTCATTCTTTTAGACTTTGCGAGACGTATTGTTCATTCGATACCGTCTGGAGTCTGTACTTCATTACTTTAGACTTTGCGAGGCGTATGGTTCATTCAATACCACCTAGAGTCTATGTTTTTTTTACTTTTAGCCAGCAGTGTTACAACTAAGGTAAAATATTATTTTCCCTATTACTTTTGCTTGTGATCTTCTTACATATTCTTGAAAGTATAAACTATATTTTGGATAATGATAGTACTTTTGGGGGAAATTACTCCTAAAACATAAAACGGTCACGTCTTGATAGAAGATTGCTTTTAGTAGAGAT